CACTTCTAGGTTTCCTACTTGTACCCAACTGCTTGCTCAATCAATCATTCCTTCCTTCACTATTCTGACAAGTATCACAGAGAGTGTGGTGTTCGTCCCAGGGATCGTGCCAGGGACGAAAGCAGGCTTGCGCGGCTCGGGATCGGGTCCGTAGACTGTGCGACGTGGGGTCGAGGGCTCATTCCCCCAGTCAATGGTGTCCCAAGGTTCGCGATGTGGCTGGATGTCAGGCGGAGGTAGAGTAGGTGCAAGAAGGCATGGAGGGCGACCGAGGGGAACAACAGGTGGCTTCTCTCCTTCTGTTTCTTCCGTTCCCCCCTTTTGTTCGTCTCGCAAAGCACTCCATCCTTCACTGGAGGTGCCCCAGCCGCTTGTGTCGCCGCCAGTTGTGGCACCCCATCTGCCAGTGTCGCTCGTTCCCCATCCACAGACGCTTCCCCACCCCCTTTCATTGGAGGCGCTTTCCTCCTCTGCCCCCCAAGCAGCGCAAGCAAACATGCCACGCTTCGATGATGCTCTTCCGGCGAAGCTCCTCGGCTTCGCAGCGTGACAGCTCCTCTTCCTGTGCCACTGTGGGTGTCTTTGAGGGGTCGCGCCAGTGAGAGTAAACCTTCTTAAATTCTTCTTTGGTGTAGGGGTGCGCGAATCCGCGCGCGTTGAAAGTTTCGCGGCGCTGTCCGCGTAAGATGCCTTCGAGCCCCTGAGAGGGGGAGCCCGAGATGGGGTTCTGATCGGGATCGAAGACGTGTTGAGTGGTTATTTCTAGCTCCAGCGCCGACATCCCTTCGTCTGGCTGTGCGGATCGTTCTGCTTCAGCGATGGCGGCAAGGCCTCAGCCGGCGATCGCGTTGGTGGAGGTGGTTGGAGTGTGACAATCCCTGCAGATTCCGTCGGGATCAGGGTCATATAACGCCACCTCGCACGGGTGTGGGTGGTGTGGCACTCACGACCTTCCATCAGGGTGCTTCTAGTTGGAGCGGTGAATGTGCTCGAAGCGGAGTGGAACGAGATCTATTCATCCCCTCGAGTCGCCGCTGCAGTCAAGAATGTCGAAATCAAGGACGTACACCCCATTTTTGGAGTGTGCTCGTCCAATCTGCCTGCGCGCTTTGGTGGGCGACGAGTAGTGCAGGAGAACGTCACGGGTGCAGAGGTCTGTGCTTAACTCCACGCCGCAATCCTTGAGTTGAGCCGCCGAGAGGAGATTAAAGCGCAACTTCTGGACAATTAACACATAATTCAGCGTGATGTGCGTGCGGCTCCCGTGCGCCTTAAGTACGACAATGGCTTGCGCGCTTGCGCGCAAACGAGTGTTGTTGGCCACGGTGACGAAGGTGACTGTGGGGGTCAAGACGGCGTTGGAGACGAAGCGCTCGGAGCCGACCATGTGCTGCCCACAGCAACTATCGAGGTACCACGTGTTGTACCTCTTGTTATCATCGCGCGCGAGCAGCGCCAGTCGCAGCATGACGATGTGTAACGTGTCAAATTTCATGAACTGTTCACGCGATATCTACTGTAGTCGAGGGGAGCCACCCGCGGGTCAATTACGTGCGGGGGACTTTCAAGCAGCGGGACTGGCAAGTTCCAATCCTGGTCATCGTCGTCGCTGAAGTCGTGTCGGAGAGTGAACGGGTTGTTGGCCTCGAATGCCCCAATTGGGTGGCGTGCTGGCTCTGGTGGCGGCGTACGCACGCGGCGACGGCAAGATCCGCTCGTTGTTATAGTCATGTTGCCGATGATATTGCGGGCGACAGGAGGTTGTGACGGCTGCTGGTGCTGGTGCTGAATCATCGGATTCAGGTTGCGTAATTGGGGCTGATGGCCCTAGGCATGACGCGTATCGGTTCGTGCATCTTGTCGGCCGGACCAGGTGCTCGGACTGGTCTGGCGAGGGTGTGAGCGGGATTTGCATCGCTCTGCCAAGTGCCCAAAGTTTCTGCAGATCTTGCAGTAAAGGTGCCGCGGTCGTCGCTCTTCCGTATTGTCCGCATAGAAGGCGAGACGTTCCCGTTCTCGTCGCGGCGCTGGTCGCTGCTGGTTCATGTCTCTCTGTTTGACGAGAAGGGCGGCACAGAGGGCTGCTTCCGAGATAGCGCCCTATTGCCGGAGAAGCGCCTTTTAGGGTCGCCACTCTGGTCCGAGTCCTGCGAGCACGATATTGACGAAAAAATCCTATGAAATCGTGCTTCCGAGTTTCGCAATTTGGTCGCGTAGGCTCCGACAACGGTTGATGTAGGTGTTGGCCTTCTCTTCTGGGGCCATCTTTGTTTCCAGTAGCTGCTGGAGTAGGAGGCTCGATGAAATCGAGTCCTTCGGTTGGTACACACCGTTCAGGTGTCGCCATACTTCGAGTGCTGGGGCGGGCCTTGTTTTGTAGGAATGTATTCCTAGTTGCTCCGCCGGCGACATGTTCCGGAGAAGCACGCCATACGCCATGAATGATTCACTATAATATTGCGTCTTGGCGTCGTCGGAGTCGGTCGTGGGTCCCGCGTAGCTCTTGTCGAAATAGTGGAAAATCTGCGCGTTTTACAGCAGCAGCTCCAGCTCGAAGCTCCAGGTATAGAAGTCTCTGCCATCAAAACAGGTACTTGTCTTTATTTTTTATATGCTTAAAAACCTTGATTGAGCAGAGAGAATTGCTTCATCACTGGGACGCAGAGTCTTGGGTGTTGAGCCATTTGTTTCGGGAGAGAAGGTGTGCGGGGCGGTATCACAGCCATTCGGGGCCGGTTGAGAGTGTTGGGAAGATGTTCTCGTGTCGCCGTTCAGCAATGTCAGGAGTCCTTGCTCCAGAGTGGTGAGTCGCTGAAGTAGTTGTGCGAGGGCGACGGTGCTGATCGTCGTCGTCTCCTTGTTTGTCGCAGCCTGGTTGGCTTGTGTTTCAGCGGTCAGATTTGTTTGACTGTAGCGTTATGCCACAAATCTGTCAGAATCCCAGCCACTAACCACTGGGATAAAAGGGTTTGCTTGTATAGCGGGTGAGTGCGCCCATAACCCCCCAGGTCAACGTGCCTGTAACCCTTCCCTAGGATCAATCGGGAATCTCCAGTGGACCTCTGACAAAATCTTGTTCAACGTAACTGAATCTACCGCACGTGTGATTCGATTCTATGTGACATAAACGCATCGCTCCCAACCTTCTATGTGAATGTACCGAGGTGGTGACATAATCGCGGGTGCAGCAAACGAATAAGAGGGTGTAAAAGGTTGAGGAGGACCACTAAATAAATCCCACCGACGAGTGCATTTTTATTGTGGGTGGTGGTGCGAACGTGGTTTGAAAGGCATAATGTCGTGGTGGGAGGGGATGATGCAATGTAGGACGACTGGTCCCGTTGGATTTTTTTTCGCGCCAGGTCAAATCCGCAGCTTGTGCCGAGCTCATGTTTCGCAGGTGATTTTCGCGACAGGGGAAGTGGACACTATCATTCTTACGACGGGTAACATTCTAATCTGCGACGCCAAAAATGTTCGTAAATGACCTTCTGACAATTACGAACAACCTGCGATTTGGGTAATGGGAAAGCGACTGACAGGGCCTCAGATTGGTTTTTGGGTACCCTGAGCACTCAGTGTTCCTAGGAGCAGGGCCCGTGCTAGGAATTGGGGCACCCTGAGGCCTCAGGGCACTTTTCTAAAATCTTAAAAAATGCCCTGATTTGTCAGGGCAAATTTTCAAAGCCTTCCTGTATGTTCAGGGCTTCTACAGACATTAATCCTGACCTGTCAGGGCAAAAACACCTGTGTTCAGGGTTCAGATTTCAGCACAGACCAGACCAGACTCTGCTGAGCAGAGCAGAGCAGAGCAGAGCAGCATGGCATACGCCGAGATGGGAGTGTTCCCTGTTTCCCCCATCTGATGCGTTTGGTTTGTGCGTTGCGCAAGGTCGGAAGTGCAAGGGGGTCGCGAAGGCGGAAAGCAATCCGCACGGCGAAAGCAATCCGCGGGGGAAAATTTTCCGGGGAACAAATTCCCGGGAAACGGTAAATCCCCCCCCCCCCCCCCCCCCCCCCCCCCAAAAACAAAAACGCGTCAGGGCAAGCCTCGACATTCATCCTGACGCTACAGGGAAGAACACCACAGCCATCCTGATTTTCCAGGGCATTTCATATAACAACATCCTGAGAGCTCAGGGTTAAAAGTGGCACTATTCTGAAATTACAGGGCAAATTCAAATATGCATCCTGAATTCAAGGTAATCAGGATGTTTTGCCCTGATATCGTGGGGCCTGCCTAGGAGGGTAACACTGATTTTTAGTGTCGTCTGGTGTGAAACACTGATTTTACAGGGTTGTTTGTTAAAAATAAAACGCTAAACAATCAGGGTTTCTAAAACTTCAACACCGATCAGCATAGTTGCTTATACCAGTATGTTGTCATACCACAGTGAATCGACTGCGCGTGCTTTGCGATCCCCAAATTCGGCCAGTACAACAGCAAATACATTCCCAGCTGCAGGGTGGCGTAGGTCCTACTGGGGAACCAGAGCCAGTTCAGCTGAATCTGGTCGAGCCGCAGGGTGGCGTCTGTGCACGCTGGGTATCTGAATGATGACGGCGCGCCAAAATGCGAGATTACAACGTTTCCGGTCTCAGGGTCGACCCCGATACAACACTGACTCGTCAGTGTCCTCAAAAACATAACACTGAAAAATCAGAGTTCGAAAAAAAAAAAACACACTGAAACGTCAGGGTCGTTAAGAAAAAAAAGGCTGATGCATCAGTCATGATAAAAAACGAGGGTCAAACTTCAGGAATTCAGGGTAAAATTCCTGACTTCTGAGGCCCTGGCGACCGATGAGGCAGCCAGCAGAACGCGCAACCATTTACCAGCAAATCACATGCGGTGATGAGACCTTCAATTTGATAATTATATTTGTATGTTCCACGTATAAAATGTTTTGATATGCTTAACAAATTCCAAAGGAAGCACAATTCGGCTGGGACTATGCAATGCGAAACTTATTCTTACCTCAACAATCACTAAGCAAGAGCTAACCTAAACATGAAAAATCTTCAACACTTCTCGAATGGAAGCTCGGCACACAGGGCAGCCCCAGCCCTTGGATCTAACCTCAGTGAGACACTCCACACACCCCACCACATGCCCGCAAGGCACACACGCCGCCTGCGTTGCTGAGTCCCAAGAAATCACACACTGACCCTCTTTAAACCCCCCCCCTGCTGCTGCTGCTGCTGCTGCTGCTGCTGCTGCTGCTGCTGCTGCTGCTGATGATGATGATGATGATGATGATGATGATGATGATGATGATGATGATGATGATGATGATGATGATGATGATGATGATGATGATGATGATGATGATGATGATGATGATGATGATGATGATGATGATGATGGTGCCCCTCCTGTTGTTGCTACTCCTGCCTCTGCCTCTGCCCCTGCTTCTCCTCCTGTTGCTGCTGCTCCTGCTTCTTCTCCTGCTCTTGCTCCTACTCCTGCTCCTGCTCCTGCTCCTGCTCCTGCCCCTGCTCCTGCTCCTGCTCCTGCTCCTGCTCCTGCTGGTGCTGCCGCCGGGGCTGCTGCCGTTGACGAATGTGGCCCTGCTGCTGCGGAAGCAGGAGCGTCCACTGGGGGTGCTGACGGTGGGCCGGAGGCAAAGAGCGACGACACGGCTGCTGCTGCTCGGTTGAGCGCCGATGCCACAGAGGAGAACTGATTCGCAATCTCGTCGCGCATTCGACCCCCTTCCGCCCCTGCTGCAGCAGTGCCAGCTGTTCCGGCTGTACTGGCTGAACCAGCTGCAGCGCCAGTAGCAGGACTAGCGGCAATGCCAGAAGAAGTGCCAGCAGCAGCGGAGGAAGAGGGGATGGGGGCAGCAGGTGGGACAAACGGGTGGCGGTCAGCAGAGGCTGAAATGGACCTAGAAGAACGATGCGACGCAGTGAATGAGTCGGTGGCCGCAGCCGCAGCAGAAGAAGAGGAGGAGGAGAGGGAGCGGCCAGATCTGGACTGGGGCTCGGAGGAGGAACGGGTGAGAATAAAGCCGTCTGCTCCTTCCTCCCCTCTGCTCATGCCCTGGGCAGCAGTGGCAGTGGAACCAGAAGCACCAGGGGCATCGGCTCGGGCAGAGCTGGCAATGCTGGCGGTGCGCATCGACTCAGAGAGCGCCAGCTGGAACACCGTGTCCTCGTCCACGTCATCCTGCCACGCGTGCACATTCACCACGCCCCTGGATTCCCCTCCGCTCTGCTGACCCCCTCTCCCTGATCCTGACGCCCCCCCTCCTGCTCCTGCTGCTGCCACTGGTCCTGCTCCTGCTGCTCCTGACCCCCCCAGCTGCTGCTGTGCCTGCAGCTGTGTGTAATAAGCCGCAGCAGCAGCAGCAGCAGCAGCAGCAGTAGGAGCAGCAAAAGGGGAAGCAGCAGGAGCGGCAGGAGGGTGGGGGTACATGGTGGGATGCGTCTGTGGTGGGGGGGGATGGTGAATGGAGGAGGGGGCAGTGTGAGAGCGAGACGCTGGGAGCTGGGTTGCCGGTGGTGGTGCATGTGATTGTGGGGTTCGGGGAAAGGATGTCACATTCTGAGGTGTCTGATGCTGATTGGCCGACTGGGTGCGAGCCTACAGATGGTAGAGAGGGAGAGAGTGAGAATGGGAGAGTGCGAGGATGAGAGACTGTGAGAATAGGAGAGTGCGAGAATGAGAGACTGTGAGAATGGGAGAGTGCGAGAATGAGAGATTGTGAGAAGAGGAGACTGTGAAAACAAACGAGAGTGTGGTTCAGAATTGTGAGTGTGTGGTACTTGTGAAGGGGCATGTTCAGGGGATGTTCATGTGCAAGTGCAAGTGCAAGTGCAAGTGCATGTTGTACATTTCACTGCATGGATCGGCATGAGTGCATGTGCGTACTGCTGAGAGAACACCTCCCCCCTTTACGGAGCATGCAGAAGAAGAGTGAGGAGAGACGGGAGGAAAGAGTGGGAGGGAGGAAAGAGAGAGAGGGAGGAAAGAGTGAGAGGGAGGTAAGATTGAGAGGGAGGGAAGAGTGAGAGGGAGGGAAGAGTGAGAGGGAGGGAGGAGTGAGAGGGAGGGAGGAGTGAGAGGGAGGGAAGAGTGAGAGGGAGGGAAGAGTGAGAGGGAGGGAGGAGTGAGTGTGAGAAGGGGAAAGGAGTGAGAGGGAGGGAAGAGTGAGAGGGAGGGAAGAGTGAGAGGGTGGTAAGAGTGAGAGGGAGAAAAGAGTGAGAGGGTGGTAAGAGTGAGAGGGAGGAAAGAGTGAGAAGGGGAAAGGAGTGAGAGGGAGGGAGGAGTGAGAGGGTGGAAAGAGTGTCAGGGAGGAAAGAGTGAGAGGGAGAAAAGAGTGAGAGGGTGGTAAGAGTGAGAGGGAGGAAAGAGTGAGAAGGGGAAAGGAGTGAGAGGGAGGGAAGAGTGAGAGGGTGGAAAGAGTGACAGGGAGGAAAGAGTGAGAGGGAGAAAAGAGTGAGAGGGTGGAAGAGTGAGAGGGTGGAAAGAGTGAGAGGGTGGAAAGAGTGAAAGGGTGGAAAGAGTGAGAGGGAGGGTAGCATGAGAGATGAGCGACGAGTGAGAAAAAAGGAAGAGTGAGAGGAGGAAGGATTGTTAGGAGAGAAGAATGAAGGGATAGAAGGGGGAGAGGGAAGAGAGGAATCACCCGTGGCGTTCCTTGGCAGGCGTAATGCAGGCGCAATATATGGGAGGGGTCGGGTGAGCTTTTGAGTCGACTCAAAATCACATAGAGAGTGAGTGGAGAAAAAGGAGAGGGTGGAGGGAGGGAGGAGTCACCCGTGGTGTTCCGCGACAGGCGTCGTGCAGGCGGAATATCTGCGAGGGGTCGGGTGAGTCCGTGTCGCACACGAACTTCAACTTGCCATTATCCTCTGCCACACGAGGGATGCATGCAGGCACACGTGTGTGAACATGCACGCACACGTGTGTGAACATGCAGGCACACGTGTGTGAACATGCACGCACACGTGTGTGAACATGCAGGCACACGTGTGTGAACATGCACGCACACGTGTGTGAACATGTAGGCACACGTGTGTGAACATGCACGCACACGTGTGTGAACATGCACGCACACGTGTGTGAACATGCACGCACACGTGTGTGAACATGCACGCACACGTGTGTGAACATGCACGCACACGTGTGTGAACATGCACGCACACGTGTGTGAACATGCAGGCACACATGTGTGAACATGCGCGCACACGTGTGTGAACATGCGCGCACACGTGTGCGAACATGCAGGCACACGTGTGTGAACATGCGCGCACACGTGTGCGAACATGCAGGCACACGTGTGCGAACATGCAGGCACACGTGTGTGAACATGCAGGCACACGTGTGTGAACATGCAGGCACACGTGTGTAAACATGCAGGCACACGTGTGTGAACATGCACGCACACGTGTGTGAACATGCACGCACACGTGTGTGAACATGCACGCACACGTGTGTGAACATGCATGCACACGTGTGTGAACATGCACACAGGTGGGCATGTGAGATAACCATTAACACATATGGATGGGCACACACAGGCATAAAGTGCAATAAACACGGCACAAAACACACAGAGAGAGCAGAGACATGCCGAATTATGAGACATCTAAAAAATCAAACACACAGAACAAAGATATCCCATTAGCAGCACAGAACGGAAAGATGAGAGCTCAGCTGCCGGTTCCCCCAGGAGAAATGAATCAGAGAAGAAATATTCACAGAGAGAACAAAGAATTGCACAGAGTGTTGGAAATAGTAGAATGAAAGGAAAGAGTAGAATGAAAGGAAAGAGTAGAATTGAAAGAGGAGGTGTTATACCATGAACAGGGCCCTCTATAACGAGTACAGGGTTGGCGGAGTCCAGGTTGGTCATGTGAATGCGGCACACGTGCAGTGCTATGTCGAAGTAGGGAGCGCCAAACTGCAACAAACAGGGAGGGAGGGAGGGAGGGAGGGGGCGGGGGGTGTAGTAAGCAGATTTTTTAGTCGACTGAAAAATCGACTTACTGTGGGCGGGGGGTGGGCTCTTGGAGAGGCGCCTCCAACGTGCGTGCAGTCCAGCTTGGTCATGTGAATGCGGCACACGTGCAGTGCTATGTCGAAATAGAGTGCTCTTAAATGCAAGGGGTTGTGGGCGGGTTTGGAGTGGGGAAGGCGGGGTTGGGGAACTCTCAGGAGGCGCCTCAAACTGCAGTGAGTTGGGGGGCGACGGAGAGAGGGAGAGGGAGAGGGGCGAGGGCGAGGGAGAGGGGGAGAGGAGGGACACATGTTGAAATGGCGCAAAGGCATGTGTACAGCTATGTAAAAAAAAGGCGCGCCAAAGAGGAGGGGCCACAAAAGCACGTGCAGAACTACCTCAAAATACGGTGCGCGAAACTGCAGCAGGTCGTGCATGCACTCACTGCCTTGCACTCACTGCCATGCACCCACTGCCATGCACTCACTGCCATGCAAGCAAGCACTGAAACCTATGCATGCATGCATGCGGACACTCACAGCCATGGATGGGTAGAGAGCGAGGCGGAATGTCTGGCGTCCGTCACTCATGGTGGGCCCTGGAAGCACTGCCACCCAACTGCACACGCATGGGCGGAGAGCAGTGGAGCGGGGTGGAGAGGGATGGGAAGGATAGGAGAGGGGTGGAGAGGGGTGGTGAGAGGTGACAACAGGGACAGGGGATGGCAGAAATGATACAGACAAAGACAAACGACACTGGGAAAACAGCACCGACGAAAGTCAGACTCACACAATCGCCTGTACACTCATGGCCACTGAAAAGGCAAAAGCACTCACATTCTAAAGGCTTTCACTAGCGACGGCGCCGAGAGGGTCTGCTGGCGCACATAGCCTTCGAACAATGCCACCCGGCTCTGATGGGGCAACCCGCCAGACAGAGGAGAACAGGGTGGGGGGAAAAAGGGGATAGGAGAGTTGAAAAAGTGCTGAGAGGGTGTGGCGCACATAGCCTTCGAACAATGCCACCCGGCTCTGATGGGGCAACCAGCCAGACAGAGGAGAACAGGGTGGGGGAAAAAGGGGGACAGGAGAGTTGCAAAAGTGCTGAGAGGGTCTGCTGGCGCACATGGCCCTCGAACAAGGCCACCCGGCTCTGATGGGGCAACAGGGAAGGGGCACGGCAGTGGTGTGGGGTTGCGTGGTAAGAGGGAGATAGCACGTGTCAGTAACGGTTCTTGCAAACCTTCATCAGTAAAATCCCGAATAGAGGGAAAGAGGGAGACAGCGAGGAACAGAGTGTCATCGGTGCTGAGATTTGGTAAGCAAGCTTAATAATTGACACATGTATACCATGTTTAATCTGTTAATGTTTTAGTAGCCATTTCCACCAAGGGGATGTAGCTCAGATGGTAGAGCGCTAGCTTAGCGTCCGAGAGGTATGGGGATCGATACCCTATACCCCTAAGCCTTTTCATCTTGCTTAGGACCACAGCTTCAAGCGGAACGTCTTTCCTCTCTCCACTCATAACAATTACCCTATACTGGAAGACTCCAGCTCACAAACACACACAGACACATGCGACCTCCCCGCCCTCCTCCCCTACCCCCACATGCGACCTCCCCGCCTCCTCCTCCTCTCCTACCCCCACCTCACCTCTATGAGTTTGACAACAGCAGTGGCGTTTCTCTCTCTCGCCAGGTCCAGATCGCTCCTTCCATTGTCGTTATAACGCAGGCTGATTTACTCCACACATTCAAACTCTCTCTCCCCCGCTCGCACACCCAAACGCACATGCACACCAATGCGACCACCCCCCTCCTCACAGAACCCCACCTCACCTCTATGAGTCTGACGACAGAAGTTGCATTTCTCTCTCTCGCCAGGTCGAGAGCGGTTTTTCTATCATCGTTGGGGAAAAGGGGGTCCGCTGCATTAGGGGTAGGCAGGGCAGGGGGGAACGAAAGAAAATAATTGATAACAAGAGTGAGTTGGGAAGACTTTCATGGCAGGCAGCAGCTTAGCTCTGGGATATCGAACATAATGCATCGTGGTTACAAAGACATGGTTACCAGCTCACCTCCATGGTCCAGCAGCAGCTTCACCATGGCATCGGTCATAAGGGATCGCGTTTACACACGCATGGTTACCAGCTCACCTCCATGGTCCAGCAGCAGCTTCACCATGGCATCGAGCTTCTTACGAGCGGCATAGTGAATGGCCGTGCCCCCTCCTGGACCTGCATGGTCGGGACGAGAGAGGGGGAGGGGGAGGAGAGATGTAAGCTATGGATGGATAGCTGTGCTGTGGCATGGTGAATGACTGTGCTGTGGCATGGTGAATGACTGTGCTGTGGCATGGTGAATGACTGTGCTGTGGCATGGTGAATGACTGTGCTGTGGCATGGTGAATGACTGTGCTGTGGCATGGTGAATGACTGTGCTGTGGCATGGAAGAAAGTGGTAGCATGGTGGTGGAAATCAGGTGGAAATCGGAGAGGAGGATTTAAGATTGGGGGCCGAAACCCCAAAAACTCTGCTAATAGGCGCATGGGATGTATGCAAACGTGAGGATTGATTCGCAAAAGCAAGCCAGCATGCCCACCTTTGGAGTAGGCGCGAACAAGGGCGCCCATCTGCAGCAGAAGTTTTGCCGCCTCAAAGCCCTCCGCCCGGCTGCTGGCGAGAATGACTTTTGGGGCGCCTCAAAAGACAACAAGCCCACCTTTGGAGTAGGCGCGAACAAGAGCGCCCATCTGTAACAGAAGTTTCGCAGGCTCAAAGCCCTCTGCCCGGCCGCTGGCGAGAATCAACGGCGTGCGACCCTGGGAATCCACGCACTGGTTGGGGGAACGACGGGGACGAGAGGGGGAAAAAGCACAAATCATTTGCTTTAACCCATCTGCAGCAGAAGCTTCGCCGCCTCAAAGCCCTCTGCCCGGCTGCTGGCGAGAATTAAAGGGGTGCCACCCTTACCGTCCACACACTGGTGGGAGGATGAGGGGGGGACGGGGGGGGATGACGGGGAAATGAGGGGGGATGGCCGCGAAGAGGGACGAGGAGGGAATGCGGGGCTAGGGGGGCGAGAGACACGAAAAAGGTTTATCCTCCAGGGTTACTGTGTATCACCTCATGTATAACCTCTAACCCACAAGAGAATGTAACAGGTTACTGTGTAACCTGCGTCAGGCACGCTAGCTTCCAATAAGCCTCACATTGGCGCCAACAGGCATCGGCGACTTAAAGAAGCATGAATAACAACATTGAACAGATCGTTCCCGGATAAATGCTTATATAGAAGCTAAGGGAAGAGAGGCACGCGATTAAAAGTCTCACGTTGACCACAATGAGACTCACGTTGACGCTGGTTCCACGTGAAACCAGCTCTCGGATGGCTGACGTGTTGCCGAGCACCGCGGCGTGAAGTATCTGCTCCTCTCTCGATCCACTCTGACCCATGATACTGCGCTTAGTATGCTTGTCAAGCCGCTTTATTACTACACAAATTCTGAAGTCAAACAGGCTCCTCCTTTCTCTGATACTAGCACTGTTGACAATATAACTTTCTTCGACACACATCGGCAAAATTGGAAGGTCCGGTACGGGTCCGAAATCGGAGAAGGTCCGAAATCGGTCCGAAAAGAGTTGTGAAACAGCCTCCCCGGAAAACCTCAGCGGAAACGGGTCGTCAGGCCTGACGACCCTCCGACGACCTGACGACATGCTGCCCCGGGCAGAAAAAAACTAAAACCCTATCGGATGGCATGCCATCCGAGGGAGGCATCAACCCTAAATCCATGCCTCCCCGTGTTTAGGGTTGATTGAGAAAATAGTAGGTAGGGTTAGGAGCCATAGCTAGGTAAGTCCTAGCTAGGCAAGAGAAGTTTAGGCAAAAGAAGAAGAAGGGGGTTCACTAGAAAGCAGCAGGATACATATAGGAAACCCTAAGGGGTTGTACTCGCTATAGAGTACCCCACTGCAGGCTAGAGAACAATGACATTCTGACACACCCCCATAGCCAAAGTGGGGTGTAATCAGCAGAGCAAGCAAAGCAGAACAAGCTCAGGGTGGATCACAATGTCACCACACATTCTGAGCACAAGTACAAGAAGCAATAGTTTAAAGTTCACAATTATGAGCAAAGCTAGAGGCTATCGCAGAGGGCAAGTGAGGAGGAGGAGGCGAGAGTGAGAGGAGAGGAGATAGGAGGCGACGGCTGAAGCTGCAGACACACGGGCAACAGGAGTCACACTGGCACAGCGGCTACCGGAACAACGCTCCGGACTACTGGAGTAACTGGCTCCGCGGCTAAAAGTAGCGGCAGACGAGCAACGGACCCACGGGCGACTGGCACAGCTGGCTGCGACTGGGCTACCGGAGCAACTCCCCGGACTACAGGTGCTGCTGGCGACACGACGGCAACCTCAGTTCAACCTCCCCAAACAGTCCCACTCCCCCTGACACACACCCCCTGCTTCACCCCTAGCTCCACTCCCCCTTCACCCCCCTTAGTACCACTCCGACGGCTCCAACAGGTCCACCCCCCTCAGCGGCAGCTGCAGCACTGGGAGACGGAGGAGGAGGAGGAGCAGGGGACGGCACACAGAAGCTGCACCCCCATACCCCCCACCCCCAAACCCTAATTCAGGAGAACGGGCAGCAGCAGGGGTGGGGCGCCATCAGAAGCACGGGGGACAGCGGGCAGCGCAGGGGCAGCGAAGAACGGGCCGCCCACGGGCCTGGCACAGCCGCCCGAACCGCGCGCAGGCGGCCCGAGCCGCGCGCGGGCCTGGCGCAGCCCGTACGGGCCGCGCGCGGGCCTGGCGCAGCCCGTACGGGCCGCGCGCGGGCCTGGCGCAGCCCGTACGGGCCGCGCGCGGGCCTGGCGCAGCCCGTACGGGCCGCGCGCAGGCTGTACGAGCCGCGCGCAGGCCACGACGGGCGACGGGGGGCGACGCGCGGGTCCCCGTCGCCCGTCGCAGCGCCTCCCGGGAGCGACGCGCGGAGTGACGGGGCAGAAACCCGCCGCGCGCCTCGGGGCGCACGGCGGGCAGACAACCGCCGCGCGCCTCGGGGCGCACGGCGGGCAGAAAACCGCCGCGCGCCTCGGGGCGCACGGCGGGCAGAAAACCGCCGCACGCTCCGAGCGCGCGGCGGGATGAAAAATCCGTCGCACGCCACGGGGCGTGCGACACAGAGAGTAGCAGTAGCAGCGGAAGCAGTGAGGTGGTGAGCCCACCCACAGGATCGACCCAAGGGGATCGACCTACTCTGATAGCATGAGAAAATAGTAGGTAGGGTTAGGAGCCATAGCTAGGTAAGTCCTAGCTAGGCAAGAGAAGTTTAGGCAAAAGAAGAAGAAGGGGGTTCACTAGAAAGCAGCAGGATACATATAGGAAACCCTAAGGGGTTGTACTCGCTATAGAGTACCCCACTGCAGGCTAGAGAACAATGACATTCTGACATTGATGCCTCCCTGACCGGATGCATGCCCGATGGGGTTTTATTTTTTTTGCCCACGGGCAGCGAGCTCCCCCGGGCGGACTCGCTTGTCCGCTGAGGTATACCATTCGGTTTCACCTCGCCAAGTGTCGGTTCGGAAAGACCCATTTCGGACTCAAACGGGAAATTATCAAATTGGGGCCGAAGAGTACCAGAGAGGTGACCAAAGTAGGGCCGGTAAATCTCGACCGTAGGATATATACCCCGAGCTGCCCAAGCGGTTAGGCGAACAAGCCGAACCATAAAAGACAAGTAATTGCTTAACGCACCGAGTTTCGTATGATACGTTAACAGCCGGCATCTAATACAACGCGCGCGTTGCATTCTTCTGGAAGTTACATTTGCCGTGTTGAATTGTGAGTCCAAAGCGACATATTATATTATGGGTGATGCGTATAACCTTCCTGGTCGGAAACGCGCTGAACAAAAAAAAAAAAAACCCGTTCGGATATGGGTGCGACTCGGAAGGCATCAACCCTAAACGCTAATATTCTTTGTTTTTAGGGTTGATCCATCCCGAAAATGCATCCTGGTTCTTTAGGGGTTTTAGTTTTTTTTTTGGCTGCCCAAAGAGTTTCTGGCTCGCTAAACGACGCTATTGGGTAAAAGGTCATGAATCATCACGATTTCCATAAAAAATGACGCGCGAGCGAAAATGCGAAGTGTTAACAACAATACGTGCAAACAACAAGGACCCTCTGCAAATACCGTTTTGCGCAGTGGTTTGGTTAATTCCGGGCCTCTCGGCCCCTGGTTGATCACCTCTCTAGCACTGTTCGGCCCCTCTATGATCTTTTCCCGACTCAAACCAAATGGATTCTTTCGGAACAATCACCTCCGTATCACACGGCGCGGAGCACCAATCCCAACCACCGACGCGAGGTTGTGAAATGTCAAACCTCGACTCAACCAAAACCTCATGAATGAAGAAATATGATTGGCTAAAAAAATCTCTCCAATCACCAACCTCGTTTTTCCCTCCAACCCAATCACACGTCTCAGCCTTATCCCCAATCTCAACCACACCCCTTCCGTCCCTGCCCATGACAACCCCTCTACCAAACCAGTTACACCAACCTACCCTACTTACATGTTGTTTGTGCTTCGTTTATCACGTTACCTCGGTTATTAGGTCACGACTAGTTTCGCCTCGCCTCCTAGCTCGTTTCTAAGCTCACGATTAGCTTCGCCGTTTTGCTTGTTTCTAAGCTTACGAACAGCTTCGCCGTTTTGCTTATTTCTAAGCTCACGAATAGCTTCGCCACCTTGCTCGTTTCTTCACTGATCATCTTGAGCGTAATATCCAATCCAGACTTCTCTTTCTCTCTCTCTCTCTCTCTCTCTCTCTCTCTCTCTCTCTCTCTCTCTCTCTCTCTCTCTCTCTCTCTCTCTCTTTCTCTCTCTCTCTCTCTCTCTCTCTCTCTCTCTCTCTCTCTCTCTCTCTCTCTCTCTTTACCTCTCCCTATTACCAGCAGTCATTATCAGGGCGCGCGACAAAAACAACTGATGATCCTGACTGTTTTCGCGGAAGCGCTCGACAATGCGCTGGCGAGACCCGCCTCAGCAGGTGCGTAACTACAGGCGAGCGCCTCAACAGGCGCGCGACCCTGCAGGTGTGCGACACTGCAGGTGCACGCCTCTGCAGGTGCACGTCTCTGCAGGTGAGATGCGCACTCTGAAGTGCGTGCCTCTGCAACGGCGCCTCTGGCTATGCTCGTCTCTGCAGGTGCGCGTTTCACTAACGAATCGTTTATTTACTTTCGTCTCTACTGCAGTTTTGTTCAGGTAGGCAGAAGATTATATATGGAATATACTGATACTTTACTTCCAAGACTATTGAAGTTCATTTCCTTCTGGGCCTAATCATAACAGGCGTGGAAGAAGTCCTACACTAACCCCTAATCTAATTTATTATTCTGTGCAGGTGATTAAATCCAGAGAGATTCATGTGCGCTATCAACAAGATGCAGAAAACTGAATTCGACAACTCAGCGGTGATACAAGTGGTTTGAAGTGTCGTTGTTAGAATAGCTTGTGATATAGAATGAATTAGAACATATGCTAGTTGAATTTCATTAGGAATAACCCTAAACTCGATGTATACAAAGTCTTATCAATTTTATGCAGCTAATTTTCAACTGTAGAAGCAACGGAGGGACGTGTCGCATACGCGATCGGATCTGATTAGTCACTCATTTCGGACTCATTTCGGACTCATTTGGGACTCATGTCGGACCCTTTCTGGACTCATGAAGGAACGTCTAAAAACTTCCGAAAGGATTCAGCATTGAAAACCGAAACGATTCCTTTTTGTGGTGCCCTAAAAGAACCACGAAGGACCCAGAAAGGACCCCAATCGGCAGGGTTTCAGACATTGAATTTCTGCGATGCAGAGGAAACTCAAGCTAACAGATATTGTCAAATGTTAGCATTTCTAATAGGCTGCAGTGAGTTGCCTACTAGAGGGTACATTGTTTCGGTTTTGCACATTTGTACCCTACTCCCATCCTAGTCAATTCATTCCGTTGCATCCTTATTCTAACATGGTATCATGAGTAGGTAGTTTCCTCGCCTAGCCTAGCCTCGATCGCGCCCTAGCGCCCTCCGCGCCCTAGCGCCCTCCGCGCCCTAGCGCCCTCCGTACCATCCGTGCCCTCCGCGCCCTAAGCGCCTCCGCACCCTCCGCGCGTAGCCCGCGCCCTCCCCTCGGCCAGCCCGTGGCTCGCACCCT